CTCTGAGTCCGCACTTTCGTGACGTAATGCCGCTTTGACTGTCGGGTAGAAGTCTGCTGCGGAGCTCACCCCAGTGCGGGCTCAGCAGAAGTGCGGAATCTGTGGATCGAGGGCGCATAACGGCCGCAAAGAGGGCGCTCGCGAGCACCCTTCTGAATGCTAAAATGACTAATGGGACACGCTACGGTCTCGTGGACATAATGGACACGTGCACGCGGTGGCCATTGTAAGTCAGTAAGACCACAAGTGCACATGAAGTGTTCCATTTGGGACAGGGCCAGTATGGAGGATAAACAAAGCAGTTTCCCAGAACTCAACGCGGCGTGACATCAGCTTCACATTCACATTAGCTGAATTGTCACTCATCTGATATTAAACCAATTAATGTTTCTGTTTCAAAGTGGGTCCCGCCTTCTGAAAGTTTGCGTAACAAACACATACTTCAGGTGCTGAAGCAAAAGGCTAAATAGGCACGCAATGAAGTAGGCTATAGCTCCTAATAAAGGTGTGTGAGTTGTCATCATTTTGGAGTGATTGCAATGTATTCTAAATATAAACTTGTTCTGTCGATCAGGGTGATTTCTATAAATTGAATAAAATGGCAAAATAACAATAAAGATATTATCAAACAAAAAAGAGAATAAGATCAAGTTTGATTGATATGTACATATAGAACCGGTCAAAAGTTTGGACCCATTCAAATTTTTATAAATGTTTTTGAAAGAAATTTCTTATGCTCATCAAGCCTGCATTTATTTGATCAAAAATACAGAACAAATCAGTAATATTGTGAAATATGATTACAATTTAAAATAATGTTTTTCTATTTTATTATACTACTTTAAAATATATCTCTGTGATGCAAAGCTGAATTTTCATCAGCAATTACTCCAGTCCAGTCAGATCAGTGTCACATGATCCTACACTGTAAAATCCAATAGTTTACCTTACTTAGATATAATTAGTTATCTTTACTTAGTTGTTATACTTACTTATTTTGGAGAGATTGCAATGTATTCTAAATATAAACTTGTTCTGTCGATCAGCGTCATTTCTGGAAAGATCATTGACTGCTTTATTACGAGTTTAAAAGAACGCGAGCGCCGTTGACGCACCCAACAGCGACGCTTTGAATTTGCGCGTACAATGAATGACATCGCGTCAGGAGCTGACTAGCAAAGAAGTAAAAGCAGAGAAGTTTGTATTCAAAGTTAAAAAGCAAACACACTAGAACATTTTTTAATGGTTCAAATAAAGGATCTCAGGTGTATCTTCTAAATTCGGCTGATTCATTAGGATTACTGCTCTAACCTTAACACTTATAATTTCAGTTTCAACTAACTAAACTTTTTTTCTGCTTAGTAGCGATCGTGTCATTCTGTTTCACTTGATTTGTGTATATATTTGTCATATTTAAGGTACCGATGCAATACATAATATCATATTACTGATAATAATATGATAATACAGAACAAATCCGTAATATTTAGCAAGGATATGTTAAATAGATAAAAAAAAAAAAAAGTGATAGTAAAGAGACTTGTATTGTTATAAAAGATTTATATATATTATTTTTTATTTGTAAACAACTTTTTAATCAAAAAATCCTGAAAGTATCACGTTATAAAATAAACATTAAGCACTGTTTGTAACATTGATAATAAATCCGCATATTAGAATGATTTATGTAGGATCATGTGACACTGATCTGACTGGACTGGAGAAATGGCTGATGAAAATTCAGCTTTGCATCACAGAAATATATTTTAAAGTATAGTAAAATAGAAAAACTTTATTTTAAATTGTAATAATATTTCACAATATTATTGTTGTTTCTGTATTTTTGATCCAATAAATCCAGGCTTGATGAGCATAAGAGACTTCTTTCAAAAACATAAAAAATAGTAATGTGTCCAAACTTTTGTACTGTAAATACAAATATTGTTGTATAAATAAAAAGG